TTTGATATGAGAGATGTCCCTAAGAAGGAAGGAGAATAAAACTGGCCCCCTAGCATACACAGTCCTTAAGTACCTTAAAAAGCTCCACATGGATACTGATGTAATACATGATCTGGGATAGCCCAACCACTGGGAGAGGGAAGAGATGGCTGAAGTGACTGTGACCCTGCCACACCTGACTCCTAAGGACACCTTCAACTTCAATTACCAATCCTTCTCTTCATCTTGCTCCATTTGTAGTTCCAGCGTCTGTGTACGAGCTTCTCATGGTAGGCATGTCTGCAGGGAAGTCCCTGCCTTGACTACACATCAGGCTGAGTTCCTCTTTGATCGTCCTGGAAACAAGTAACACCACTATCTACATTTCTTCTTCCCAGAATTGGTCTGAGGTGATACTTTATATCCAGTAGTCATTCATTCATCAACAAACACTAAATGTGTCTCCTCTTTACTACTGTCTCATCCACTTTACAGATTAAAATCAAAACAAAACAAAAACTAAGGTTCAAAGAGTCCAAAGTAACAGAGCTGGTACCTTGGCCAGAGCCAGGTGCTCTGGTCCTTGCGTGTTCTCCCACATTATCACAGAACCTCCATGGGGGCTGGAGAGATGGCTCAGTGGTTAAAAGCATTGCCTGCTCTTCCAAAGGACCAGAGTTTGATTCCCAGCAACCACATGGTGGCTCACAACCATCTGTAATGAGGTCTGCTGTCCTCTTCTGGTCTTCAGGCATACACGCAGACAGAATATTGTATCCATAATAAATAAATAAATATTTAAAAAAAAGAACCTCCGTGTTTAACCAGTATTTACTCATTTTAACTCGTAGTTCTAGGATGTACCAGGCACTTGACACATGTACCACCCCGGCGTCTTCACACTTTTGTCCTCATGGGAAAGAACATATGAGCAGTCTGTGATCTGGGGCTGCAGAGATGGTCCTGTGTTTAAGAGCATGTGCTGCTTCATGAGGAGCCGGGCCAGGTTCCCAGCACTCACATCAGGTGCCCCACAACCACCCATAAGCCCAGGTCCAGGAGGATCCAATGCCTCGTGGCCTCTTTGGGCATCTGCACACACATGCACATAAACAACACACAGATATACACACATGATTAAAAATAATAAGAATAAATCTTTAAAAAATGTCTGCAACCTCCCATTTCTGTAGTACTTCACAAAAAGCCTTCACAGCCAGGATCTGCCATTCTCTCCAAATGACTTCATAAAAAAGTGGAGCAACATTCACTTCAGAGGACTAGGGAGTCACCACGAATTAACAGCCTAGTTCTTCTCAGAGACTGTCCTCTTGCCCCAGGCACGGCTACATACTTTGGCTATTAACAATTTTGTCTCTGTAGAAACCTGCACATCACACTATACTAGTGAACAAAAGTACTTTAGTTTATACATACATGTTGTGTGTGCATGCGTGGCGGGGTGGGGGTGGGGCAGAAGCTAACTAACCTTGGGTGTCATTTCTCAGGCTCTGTCTAACTTGTTTCCTGACACCTGGTACCTGGGCTCACTGATTTGGCGAGGTTGACTTGAGCCCCAGCGATCCAGCTCTTTGCACCGGGATCACAGGCGTGCACCACCACATTTGGCTTTTGACATGGGTGTTAGGACTTGAATGCAGGTCCCCATGCTTATAAGGCAAGCACTTTAACGATGGGGTATTTCTCCAGGCAAAAAGGTGCTTTAAACTATGGATTCCCTCGGGATATTAAAGCTGAGAGACCTCAGCTATCTGATGTAACACCATCAGCTCGCCAACGACAAAGATAGGATCCAAGTGGGCAACTTAGTCAAAACCACACTGGTAAAACCCATAAGTCCTGGAGTGAGTGGGAAGACTGCTTCTATGCCTTAAAAGATGCTGCTCTCCAAATATCCAAGTCTGGAGTCACGGCTCACACTCCGCGACACGGACACTACCTTTTATGGATCTAATACTCCCTTCCTATATGACAAGGAAAGGGGTTGAAAATATTCAGAAAATAACAAAAAGCCTTTTAATGAAATCAAACGTAAACCACTAATGGTCAGTAACTCAGCATCTAAAGCTTCTCATAACACTAAAGGATAATGGTAAGAAAAGTTACATTTGCATGTTTCTGATTACATACACATCTTTATTAAGAGAGCAAAGACCCGATTGCTCATCACCTCCCCGCAGTGGGCAAAAACAATTTTGCTTAAATTTAAACACCCAAAAGGCATCTCGAAAAGAACTGCACACAGAGAAATGAAAACAAATCCAAAGGAATAGTGGACGAGAGAGTCAGGTAACACTGACCTTCCGCTCAGTCCGTTCACGCTCGGCACGGCCACCACGATACTCCCCGCTCTCCCTATTAAACACCCTATGATGTTTCCCCGTTCCAGGCCCTCGCATGATTCCAGCCTCGCGGTTAAACACTGTGGTGTTGGATTTCCAATATTGAAGCTTTACATTAAAAGGCATTTTAAAAGGACCACGGGCAGAGCCTTACAGGGCCCAGGAGGATATCAAAGCCCTCCAAAGGAAACCCCGCCTCGTAGGGAAGCCACCGCAGAGCCCCCAGTGGGAGCATGAGAGATCATGTGGTTGATTGCGGCAATCGCAGGTCATGCGACCTCAGATGTCACCTCTGTTGCCAATCATTTCAGCTGAAAACCGAAAAGGTTTAAGGTTCCCACCATTCTGAGGTCTGCCAACGCCAAACCCCAGCCCTCTGAGGTGTGCCTTTCCAGCAGGCACGAATGACGTCCGCAACACCTAGCACAGAGGGGAGCATAGGTTTCCCAGGTGGCTCTGGGGAGTAGACAGGGTCGTGAATGATAGCTCTGCTGGTGCAGTCAGGAGGAGAGGGGCAGGTGTGGGAGCAAAGAGAGGAGCTGTAAGACTTAGGTATGTGAGATGATACTAACTCAACAGGGCTCGAGGAGCTCGAAAGCAAACAAAACCCCACAGTTCCCACATAATAGGTTTTTATGTTTTTGAAATGTAGAATCCCCATTCAAAGCTGGAGCTTTTGTGTAATTTTTATGATTAAAAATGCACAAATGTATAACAGCTACACAAACATTATGAATCAATTCAGTGTTCCTTTGAGCTATATGCTGGACAAACTGTACGTGTTTCAATGCATCTGCACACAGCGAGTGATCTCAAAGCTCTTACCATCCTGCCTTCCCAAGCCCTGAGGCGTCTGTTAGGAAACCAAGCACCCACTGATCCAGGCAGGACAAAACAATTAAGACTCGAATCACTGCCACGGCGGCTATGGAATCATTCCATGTTCTCGATGAGACACTGTTTGACAAACGAACTCTCCTTCCCAAGAACATGCCTGCATGAAGGGACCCAGACAAGAGGACATCTGGGTCCCATTACCACAAAAGGTTCTTGTGTTATAGATTACTTAAGAATACTCAAGCACAAACATTGGGGTTTTTTGTTTTCTGCGCTCCCCCCCACCCTTTTCTCTTTAAGCCACGTGTCTCAGTCAATGGAACTCAGACGAACGTTCTTTCTGGACACTGTCCTCCTGCTGTGCTCAGCGCCCTCTGGCATGCTCTAACGATCACTTTCCCATTCGGGGAAGCATAATAAATAGTGGGCCCCTTGGTGGAGCTTCCCAAACATGACTGACCCGTGCAGTGTTAATCCCTATCTAGCAGAGGCTCATGAACATCATGAGAAAATCAGCTGGAGCCCCTTCCCTAGAACCTCTCCCAGAATGCACACTGAGTCTTTAAAGGCTTGGGAGGTCATTATTCAAAGACCAGAAAGAAAAATGACATCAGGACAGGAATAAAGGACCTTGGGATTGGGCAGATTGGTGTTATCTTCAGCTTTGCCACCAGTCCTTAGATGGAAATTTTTTGAATTTTTTTGACACCGCAATACTCATTCTCTCTCTCTCTCTCTCTCTCTCACACACACACACACACACACACGCACGCACGCACACACACACACACACACACACACACACACACACACACAGGGGAAGCTGGTTTTGAACTCCTGCTCTTCCTGCCTCCAAGTGTTGGGGTTACAGGTACTTGATCAACATCTAGTTGACCTTATTGCATTTCCAACACCTGACCTAAACCACCCTCTTACCCTCTTTTCAACAGGGACATGAGTGTTTCTGCAGACAGCTCATGCATTCTCTGGTTCTCTGAAGTGGTTACCTGATCCCCCACTTTGAGTCTCTAACATAGACTATGTATTCAATACCACTTCTTGCCTAGCCTGATTGCATATCTGATGCCCACAACAGGACTGCAATCCCCCGTAGGCCAGATCAATGACTTAATCCCCTCCATATTCCTTTGACATCTGCAATAGTAGATAACGAGAGGGCACCTATGTTCTTATACCACATAAGTGTCCTGCAGAATGCAAACATAATACTACTGTACATCCCTCGGGGGACACAGGGAGTGGACTGAAGAGGACTTTAGGCTATATTTAAATGTTTGTTTCATCTTATCTCCTATTTTACCCTTCAGTGACTTCACTAAGAGGCTACTGCGCATTTTTAAAGAACTGGAGAATGTATTTGGCTTTGCTGAGCATTCTAAGTGTAGATAGTTAAGAAAGCCATGAGAAACATGGCACTTCAAAGAAAATCAAAATAGAACCGGTGCAGGCCACAGTCCCTCGGAAGCCCTTGAGGCATCGGCCATATACTCGGAATGAAACAAACTCCCCCGAGCACCCTCAAGGCCCTGCTGGCCTCTTCCCCTGGTGCCAATGAAGATCTGATCTCTCTCCTTCCTTCCTCTCACATCTGCGAGTATTTCCAATTATGTTTACTGAGGAATTCCTACATGCAAAGCTCTTTCAAGTATCATCTCCTTCAATTGTCCCGAGGAATTATCACTGCAAATGATCCAGGAGAGAAACAAGCTCAGAGAGTACGTGGTTTGCCTAAAATAGCAGTCTTCTCTCCACACGCCGGTGCCAAGACCCCCTCCAGCATGACCCCCAGTCCTTGAACTTGAGCTCTCTCCAGCTAGAGCCTAATTAGTTTTCACTTTCATATTGAGTATTAAGTGTTGTTCCTTAGAGTGGTCTCCTACAAATATTTAAAGAAGCTTCCTTCCCTGCCTGACACACACTGTCTTGTTAAATATCTGGTTATTAATTACATCCTTATTGATTGGCTGTTTCCTTCAGTAGGCTGTAAGTTCTATGAAAGGACAGAACATGCTTGCTGTCCTTATTAATTAATGTGTATTAATGTATTCATTTAAATAATTACACCCTCAGGACTCAGCACAGTGTTTGGCATATAGGTGTTTAGTAAATGTATTTTTAATTGTTATTTTATGTATGCGTATGGGTGCCCTGCCTGCATGTATCTGCGCACCATGTTCATTCCTGATGCTGTGGAGCTGTTGGATCACCATGAAGTAGGGTGAAGCAGATGGTTGTAAGCTGTCATGTTGGTAATGCAACCCAAATCTTCTGGAAGAGCAGCCAGTGCTTTTAGCTGCTGAGCCATCTCTCTAGCTCCCAGCTTTTTAGTGAGTGGGGAAAACAATGCATCATGAGCTTTAGGACATCACAACTTTTCACAGGACGAACACCAAGGGCACTGTTTGACTCGAACACCAAAGACGCTCGAGGGTCAGTGTGCCTGAGGGACCTACCCGGCTCTGTCGCTGACACCACCCTCAGGTGTGCCCCAATTCTCACAGCACTTACACAAGACTGACTAGATACTAACTCAAACACGACACAGCTTACAGAAGGAAGCCAGAACTGGGAGGAGATTTCCCATCTCCTGGGTATCACTGTCCTGACATCAGGTCCTAGTTACCCATGTGTTCTGTGGGTGGACGGGTGACTCATTAAATTCCACTGGAGTCTATGACCACAACATCAATATTCTTTAAAGGGAAGAGGAAGTACCCCTGATGCCCTCAAGTTCCAGGATGTCCAGCTGACCTTGGGAGCACTCCACAAAGCTTATTAGGAGAACCGCAAACAGACTGTAGGCTATGGGGGAAAAGATTCACAGTTTGCTAACAATGACAATGGACTTGTGGGTTGGGGAGATGGTTCAATGGGTAAATAAGGTGCTTGCTGTGAAAACATGAGTTTGTACACTCACTGACACACACAGTGTGTATGTATGTATGTATTTATACACATATGTGTGTCTGTATATATGTGTGGTATATTTTCTTTGGTATATTTGTACACTAGAAAAAAAGAAAAGATTTTAAAACACAGGAACTATTTTGAATCTGAATTCTGTAATCTCGCTAATGTAAAAAGGAGAAGCGAAAATTCAAAAATTAAAGCTATGTTAACAGAAATACCATAAGATACAATTTCAAATAGTTTTCAGAATGGAAACGGCAGGATTATAAACAGACTAGTGCCTGCTCTGTCTGCCCCTAGCTATACACAGGTTCTCATAAGGACCAACTAAGATCAGGAAATTATTAGCCTGATATCTGAAAACCATTAAGCTGTTTTTTTTTCTTTATTTCAAAACAAGGCTCAAAATTATTAGTCCCAGTATTTAGGTTAACTGGGAAGGGACAGAAACTCTAAATTCCCCTTTGGACAAAGTATCCATTATCAAAATAACTCTATTCCAACACACATCACATACACCAAATCTTCAGAAGTAAAAAAGAAATAAAATACCTTGGAAGTCCTCAGAATTAGGCAACTTGACACCACACACAAAATAATCCTTATGCTCATTCTGTGAATTTAATCAAAGAATGAAATTAATTCATTGTTCTAAAGAGCAAAGAAGCCACTAAGTCAAATCTAGAGTTCAGCAGGGCCAGTGTCGCTGTCTGAGAGGCAGAGCAGCGTGGGAACCGCCTGGGCTGAGCAGGACACACGGCAACTGTCACACCACTTTCCTGCATTTCGTTACGCTTGACATTTTCATAGTAAAAGCACATGTGCATCATCCAAAGAAAAAGGCACGTGAAAGTAACATCATAAAATGTCTTCCTGCCGGGCATGATGGAGCGTGTCTATAATCCTAACACTTGGGACAAAAAAGCAGGAAAACTCAAAGGTCATTCCTGGCTGCATAGCTGTCTGAAGAAGCCTGGATTACATGATATCCATTTTAAAAAATAAGGAAAAGAAACATTCTGGCAAACCCATATCCATTCCATAAATAATAACAAGATTTCAAATTCTGATTTTTTTCCCTCTGAAACCTAGTTTATTAAATAGATTATCATTAACAAAGACACTATCAAAGTTAGCAGACTTGGTTTTCTAAATAATAACCCTAACTAGTTTTATGTCACTATCATCTTTTATATTGATTTTGAAAAATTACATTCAAACTTCATGAATTAATGAAAGTTACCTCCAGAATACTGTAACGAACACCAATACACATGGGTCACTTGGCAATTATGTTTCAGAGCAGAGCACACACATCAGAAGGCACATATCAGAAACAGTGGATAATTGGCTAAATAAAAAGATGCTGAAGGGACCAGAAATAACTCGGCACTCTTTTTGCGGATGACAAATCCTATCCATCAATGTGATAAGCTGATATATAAAACAGTCGAACTATGGAATCTGAGGCCAACTGTGTGAGTGAGAGGGAGAAGCCAGAGGTCAGCTCTGGGAAGTGTTCCTCAGGATGGCTGTCTGTCAATAGGACCTGGGGCTCCCAATTGGGTGGACTGGCTGGTCACTGAGTCCAGGGATCCTCCTGTCTCCACTCCTAGCCATGTGATAAGAGCATGCTGTCATATCCAGCTTTTCACTTGGGTTCAGGGATGGAACTTGGGTCGTCATGCTCGTGTGGCAAGCACTTTGAGGGTGGAGCTGTCTTCCCAGCTTCCCCAACTGAGTCTTAATAAAATCTTCAAGTGGACACTAGCTGTTAACGTTCTCCTAAACCATGAGAGAGCACATGGAACGACAGCTTGTCAGGAATTGGAAACTTACCAGATCAATAGGGTAAATGTAGGGGAGCTCGGAGAGCAGCTGCCTGCACCGGATTGTCAGCTGAGCGTTGGTCTTCAGAAACAGTTCTCTAACGAGAAAAAACGAAAAGTACATTCGTGAAAAAATGCTTGTATGTTATCTAACACTTATTTCTACCTAATTAATATGGAGAAGATTAAGTGGTCTGTTGTTGGCCAGTGGAGGCAAGAATGACAGAACTCCGAGTCCTGACCGTTTCCTTCACTGGAGGGCTCCTGTGTGTGCCCAGCACTGTCTAGAGTGACAAAGGCTATAACAACTACACACCATGCCTTGAGCGCCCACCGCTGCACACCAGACACTACAAACGTTTGTTCAGTTATCCCACCGACCACAGTGGGCTATCACTACACTCTCTTCTAAGAAGGAAGCAAGATTGGGAGTAAATGTTTAATAACCAGTCACTTAGTGAAGCTGATTTGATTTCAGGGTTTGATCTACCTGGCATGTCCTTAAAACAGAAAGTGTCCTTTCCTAGCCACACGTTATAGCTGGCTCAGGAAACACCCTGCTGTGACATAAGAAAAATAGAACCCTTAAGATGAACCAGTAAACAGTGTTTCCCTGAGTCTGTGAGGCCCTGGAGCAAATTGCCAATAAATTGAACTGAAGGAGGAGTTTGTGGGAATCACTATTTATAGCTGGCTGGTGGCAAACGCAGGTCACCATCTGGAGTTTGTGAAGGTTATCTCCTCACAAGTGTCTGGAGGAACTGTCAGGAGGTATCCAGGCAGTGTCAGAACTGAATTAAACCGTAAGACACACAATTCTGAAAATCTGGGTCAAAAGTATCGTGAAGTTGTGTGTTGGAAAACACTGGCTTCTTCTCCTGTCTGAAGAGCCCTGAATACTTGATGGCTCTGCCAGCGAGCTGTGCAGAGTGACTTCTCAGAGCCCAGCTTCCCTGTCTGCACACTGGGGAGTAGAACAGATATTCTCTCTTTTATTGTAGGTCTAGGATTCTTGAGTCCTCCACTGCTAAAGTTCCTCAGAGGAAACTCTGACACAATAGAACCTGCCACAGGAGTGAGTGAGGGGTTGAGAAAGCACAGGGGTAACCCTGAGCTATGGGCGGGGCAGCTAGTGTGAGGGGAAAAATAAAACCAATTATACAGCTTTACAATGCCAGTTTTTCGAAGTGTATTTGAAAATTCATCAAAGAAGCACCATATTGGGAAGAGGAAAACATAGGACAAAAATGATATTTTAAGAGAAATGCCCTAATAATAGCAGCATCGAGGTGGGGGATAGGGGTGGGTGGGGCTGGAAAGCTGGAGAGGCGGTGATTAGAGAAACATTCTAGGTATTGTTGAGGTAATCAAATGCAATACCAAGCAGAAGCCAGCTGAAAGGGCATGGAAGACGAGAGAAGCCAAAGTGGCAGCCACAGTGCCTTGGCCTGGGCGAGGAGAAACCATGTTCGTGGTTTAGGCGCTAGCGTAGTACAGACATACAGTAGGTATTTACAGATGCCTGTGGAGTTACTAACAGGGTGCTGAGACACACGGGCACACAGGATGTAAGTAAGTAGCAGCCTTTTTAGACGCTGCTTTTCGTAATGTTCCTGTACCGTGAGTAACACTCAGAGGAGCCGGGTTCGGCTGTGTTTACCTTTTCGCGGTGCACTCCTTCCTCAGCTCACTCAGGGATTCCTTTTGATGCTGGAGCTTGCCATGCTCAGTCGAAAACGCGCTTTCTACAGGGGCGACGGAAGGAGACACCAATGACAAATATAACACTGTGGACATGATGCTCAGCCACGTCTGCCCATGCAGAGCTCAGCTCAGCCACATTCGCCCACGCAGAGCTCAGCCTCACTGCGGACACGATGCTCAGCCACATGCGCACACACAGAGCTCAGCTCAGTCACGTCCGCCCACGCAGAGCTCAGCCTCTGTCCTTGCTGTGAAAGGGGTACCGAGTTAACCGGCAAAGGGATGTCGGTGCAGAGGATTTTGAGATGGGTTAACCAGACGAACTGCTATGGGCTCGTTTGACAGTGGTCCAGCCTCTAGCAGAAGCCAAGCAGCAGGACTCAGACTCTGCCCATGGGGTTCTGGACATTGACCAAGAAATCTTTATGAGACTTTCAAACTACAGACTTCACTCCTGAAAGACGGGGTAACTTATTTTCAACCACAAACTGGACATAACATTATTGAGACTATAAAACGCAGAACAGGAAAGTTACCATTATTTTGACTGCTACACTACAGTTCATATAAGCAGTTTTATGAACCTTCATCTTGCTTGTATATATTTTAGTGAATATCACAGGGCACAGGAAATGTGCATTCTGATTTTTCCACATTTTGTCACAAGCGTTTTTACATGGTGACAGTCTGAGGTGGTGGCTGTATAAAAACGCACCTTTATAGATGTGCTTGTAGCTCGATTATACATTTTTTATCTCACAGGTGCATACCTGAATCCTATTACAGAACATTTCATTTCCTCCCGGTGCTTGCTTTCGTATGTTAATGACTGATGTGTGCCCGTATGCCTGAATTCGGTGACTATATCGAGTGTGATAATAACATCCTTCCCCATCCTCCACTCTGGGAAAATGAGCGCTGGTATTCTGGACAGCCCGGGCCTGATCACATCTCCAGAGGTCCGCTGGCAGAGAGGAACTGTAAAATCCTGACACACTAAGCTGTGCATTTGTCAAAGGACTTTGCTTCATGAACTGTGATGTGGTAAGAAGAGCGACCTAGGGAAGATCAGACAGCAGGCTGACTCGGACCTCAGCACAAAATCCACTTAAGCAGTGTTTGTTTGTTAACTTAGCCAAGGACTCCCGTCATGCTGGACAAACGCTGGACCACAGAGCCAAACCCTGGCCCTAAGCAGTTTATACCCAAGGGTTCTCTAGGCTCCTTTTTCTTTTCTTTCAACTATAAAGACAATAAATGGAAGACTTAAATAAGACCCCAGACTCAGTCAAGGAACTCCACTCATCTTCAGAAGCAAAGTATTCCTCCCGAAACTTAGGTCCACACTCACCAGCCACAAACGTTAGTGATCAAGCGGCCCTAGATTTAGGCAGAGGGCCTCTCTGCATCCTCGCTGTGGTACCACCGTGACAGGCTGTGCCATCTTGGACTCTACCATTGCTTTACTGCACAGGACCTGTAGTGACGCCCCATTCCTGATGCTGGTCACCTGCGTCTTCTCTCTTTGTGCTTTGTTATTCTGGCTACAGCTAATAAGATAATTAACTAATTAACTGAGACAGGATCTCACTGTGTCCTCCTGCCTCGGCCTCCTGTGTGCTGGGATTAAAGGTGTTTATCACTATACCCAGCCCCCGCTTAAATATTCTAATAATCTCTCCACATAACTGACTTTTAGTTTCGCTGACACACTGTGCTCACTTTCTGTTTGAGAATTTCTGTCCTTTACCATTGCCTTCTCTCTGTGAAAAATGGGCTCAGCTTGTCTTCCTTCTCCCTGCTTAGGTTACTGATTTGAGGCCTTTCCTCTTCTTTTTAAATACAGGTGTCAGACTTTCCTCTAGGCTTTTGTTATTTTACGTATTCCTTAAACTTTCATGTTATATTTTCACCCAGTTCAAAATACTCCCTGATTTGCCTCAGCGTTTCTTCTTTTTGACCCGTGGTTTGTAATATATGCTTTGTATAATTCCTAAATTTTTGGAATTTTCCAGTTATCTTCCTAACAGCAATTTCTAATTTATTTTTACTTTGCTCATAAAACTACTCTGTGATTTTAATAACATTATATTTGTTTCTTTCTTAGTACCAGATAATATTTTTAGATTTCTTGGTTGATATGACTGTTCCATGTATATTTGAAAAAACACAAAGCCACTGTACTTGTGTTCAAGAAAAATAGTTCTGCTAGGTTAATGATTCCTGGAGAGACAGGAATAAACATCTCCTTACCCCAGACAGGACAACAAAGACAGACCAAACAAATGATTTTACAGAAGTCTAGTTTGGGATGACTTCCAGAAGCAGGGGTGACTTCTGTGCAGATACACCACTCAAGAAAATGTCTCACTCCTCCAACAACCATTAAAGGGTTAAACCCTTAGAAAGGGGCGGGGCCTCCTATGACAATCACTTCAACCAGGAATAACCGATTAGTATAGACAATTGGTATAGGTTTCATTTGAAGCAACAGAGATTTATTTATTTAAGATGCCTCGTTCCTCAGCACCAGTTTAGAGTGAGTCACAGCCGCTGGTGATGATATGGCATTCCCTGCGGTGTGCTGGTTGGGGGGTGGAGCACTAACTTTATCAGAAACCACAACAACTGTTGAACAGAGTGTGTTACTTTGTGCTGTCCTGGCACAGGGTGGCCCTGTCCTGAGTACAGTCGTTCTTACTGTTTCTTCCGAGTCTATAGTCACTTTCACCTCCACTCTACCTGTCCAGTATTCAAATGCTTATTTATTCCATTGAACCAAACAAGGTCAAGAATTCATTATATGTGCAAAGCAGTGAAAATAAATTGTTATCAAAAGTTCCTTCAAGTAAGCAGAAGCAATGGAATGGGCCACAGGCCCACCTCCCTGCTACTGCCCTTCTTAGCTCCTGCTGGTTATGCCTGGGAACTCCAAGTTTAAAATCCCAGAGGGCTCTCTGCCAGGAAGCCAGAAAGCAGCCTTCCCATGTCTGTCTGGGTAGCTCTTTCCCTCTACCTCATTTATCCAAATAGTCTTCTCTATGCTGGATCTCTGAGGACTTTCTGTTCCCACCATCACTATGGACTTATCCCTCATGTCTCTATCACTTCTACCAATGGGTGATACCCCAAACTACCTTCAGAACTGTCTCCCCAGCTAGGCGTATACCAATGTTCCACCCTGCGGAGACAGAGCCTCTGTACAACGCAACACAGGCGTTAAAACGCTATAGTTTTAACAACCAAATGTCACTGTTGGGGACTATAAATTTGACAGCCAAAGAATATGAACATTGCTTCCATCAAGAAAACAAAACACGGCTTCTTCAGGCTTTCTTTCGCCCTGAGAATTTGGTCTTAGACTGGCCATTGGCCAACTCCTGTCAAAGTTACAGTTAAAGCCAATAAACTATCATTTTGAGTTTTACATATGATGTCAGATGACCAAAATCAATATTCTTGGACTGTGAAAGTTCTCTCCCCACTAAACCGTATTTTCTGTATAAGAATTAGGATACTGTCCTTTTCATGGATTAATAGGTGTTTGGGGTGTGAATTTTCACCATGAATTTTGCAAAACAGCAATTGACTGTATTTAATTATAAAACTTACTAACACATAAAAATCTGCACATTAACCCTCCCCCCAGAACTCAGCACTAAGAAAATAAATTTCCTCCCTTTGAGGAACTGTTCCCCTGCAGCAGGGATGGGAGCAGCCGGTGGCTCTTGTACTTCTGCACAACTGGTCCGACTGATGCGGGCAGCACTCACTTTAGGTCGTAGAACGGAAGCTTTGACTTTGGGGTTTTGACTATTTGGAGAGCCCACAGATATATCTAGCTAAAATATTACCTATACTACACTCAGGACTCTAGACAAGTCTGGATTTTGTCTAGGCTAGACAACCAACACCAGCTTTCAGAGTGCTGGAATTATAAAAATCACCACTCACACAGCACAGTCTTAAATAGGGATGGTTTCACTTTTCCCCAACATTTGGACGCTCTGTGCATACCCCATGAAGGCCCAAGGGGGTAAGCAAAGCTACACAGCTCACTTGAAATATTGCCTAAAATAACCACAAAGCACAAGGAGGTACCTTGCCTAGCAAGCCTATTTTGATTCTCTGTTTTGCTTTCACACTTTTGGAGAAGACCAGTCTCTCTAATTCCCAAACTTTTCTTCCCTAGCTCTAATAATTTGATAATGACCTCACCTCACAGGCTAGAGAAACACTAGGATATTGTGAAATTCCGGCCATCAATAATTCGTAAGCAAATTGCCCAGCTGTAATTTTCTCTGCTTTGTCTTATTCACGAAAAAAGGAAATACTTCCAAGTCAACTCTGAACTCCTTTAAATTCAACTCTGTCTCACACCAACACATCACAGTGTGAGCACAGTGTGAGCATGTGTGAGCACGCTTGTTCAATCACTCAGATCACTCAGATACTTTTAGTGGAAGGAACACAGTGATGCATTGGTGTGATGTGAATAGTGATGCATCACTGTGTTCCATCCACCTCACACCAATGCATCACTGTGTTCCACCCACACCAATGCATCACTGTGTTCTAGTTAACACTAATTTATCATTGCACTCCACTTCACACCAATGCATCACTGTGTTCTAGTTCAGACTAATGTATCATTGCACTCTACTTCACACCAATGCATCACTGTTTCACCTCACACCAACAAATCACTGTGTTCCAGCTCACACCAATGCATCACTGCATTCCAGTTCACAATACTGTATCAAGGCAGCCCATTTCACATCAATGCATCACTGAATTCCATCTCACACCAATGTATCTGAGTGATTGAACAAGTGTGCTCACACTGCGCCCACACACGCCCACACATGCTTGTCTTGTGTCCCTTAAATGCCTCATGATCATTATTTTACTTCAGTACTAAATTATCTCATTACAATGTGTTCTTACTAAGTGTTACTTCCTGAAATTTGGGGGGGAGCAAGTGGAAAAACTAGTAAACCAAAATACAATTCTGTCAGGTGTTTTATTTCTTTATATAAGTATCTTTACCCTTTTTATAATCCATTTAAGACAATACCAGAAAAAATTGTCATAAGTATATTTAATAGTCTTGAAAGTAGGACGTGAAGCTTGCTTTGTGTCTATGCTGTGTCTTCTTCACTCTCTGTCTGGTTTCTACTGCCTCTTGGAAGCTGCATCAATACCAACAGCCCAGAGCTATACGATACTAAGTCGGGCATTCGGAGCTGGCAAGTTAGCACCATGGGGAAAAGCACTTGCTTTACAAGTCTCAAGACCTGCCTGGGTCTTTTTGGTTTTTTTTTAAAGATTTATTTATTAAATATAAGTGTTCTGCTTGCATGTACACCTGCAGGACAGAAGAAGGCACTAGATTTCAGTACAGATGGTTGTGAGTCATAATGTGGTTGCTGGGAATAGAACTCAGGACCTCTGGAAGACCTCTGGAAGACCTCTGGAAGACCTCTGGAAGACCTCTGGAAGAACATGCTCTTAACCTCTGAGCCGTCTCTCCAGCCCCAACCTGTCTGAGTTTAATGCATGAAATTCATGAAAAAAGCTCTAAATGTGGAGGCAGGCATTTGTAATCCTAGTACTCCTTGGTTGAGACGGGAGGCCAAGACAGGAGAATCATATTATCAGTATTACTGGCAGCACACCTCAAGGCACTCATAAGGCCCCAGGTTCGATCCCAACCACCTTGGGAAAAAGCAGCCTCCTCCTACAAATATCAGAGAACTACACTCTTGCAAAACTGATTCCTGCCAACATCTACTCGTAAAAGATCTGAACACCTTTCCTTAAGAGCAGGGTTCCATGTTACTTTCTGAACCTAGTTTGCAGCAGACTGACTTTGATAGGGTGTTGGATCTGTAAAGATGTATGGGCTGAGCCAGGACAAGAGACCTTGCCAGCAACACAGCAGTAACTGAGAGAAATACTTGGATTGACACCCTAATAGGGAAACCAACTACTAATATCTTTCCGGAATAAAGAAATATCCACATTAACAAACATGAGTTTTGAAGAGATCTCCTTACGGCTCAGCTGAAAGCTGTTGCGGGCAAGTTGAGAACCACTGCTTTTGAGGTGCAGGGAGAGAAAACTTCTAGGTGGGGCTAATTAGGCCCTCAGGAGTTAGAATCACTTGGCAAGTCCACAGCAGGAATAGAAACTCTATCTCGTCTCTTTTTAGTAAATCATCTTGCAACGGATTTTTATCACCAAAAGCAGACAGATAGAACAGGCACTTGGTGTGTTCAGATCGTCCACACAAGTGAATACCCATGGCTCTTGCTCTACGTGTACTGAACAAAAGACGCAGAAGCAATTCCTTTTGGGCTATCAGAAGAATAAGCAGCAAAATCAAGGTCAAATATCAAACATTCCTGACCTTGTCCCCTCGCCAGGCTCTCGGGCTCAGACTTGTAAGTATGAGTCTGCCTACCAAGTATGGCCTTGGTGAGCAACAGTACCCCAAAGTACAGCAAGACTTTATAAATAAATAAACTTAGTTACTGTCTGTACCCAGCTACAGTCCTGTGCTTTACTGTATTTACCATAGGATCGACATTAGATCCTAACTTCCTGATGCCTCAGTATTAAAACCAACCGGTCTGATGCATCGTGACACAGACTCGTCACTCTTTCTTTCTAGGATCCTCCTGCCTCTGCCTCTCGAGTGCTGGGATTAAAGGCTTGAGTCACCACCGCCCAAGTAAAGTGAATCATTAAAAATTATTTTATTATTTGGTATGTACAGGTATTTTACCTACATATATGTCTGTGTATAATATGTGTGCCTTATAATCAGGAAGGTCAAAAGTGGGTGCTGAGTCCCCCGGGATGGACCTATGCATGGCTGTGAATCGCTGTGCGGGTGCTGAGAAACAAACCCAGGTGCTCTGAAAGAGCAGTCAATGCTCTCAATCACTGAGTCATCTCTCCTGTCAAAATTTCTTTTGAACATAATATAAAAATCAGTATTGCTTAAAAAAAAGCCAATTATAAATTTACATACCATCAACAAATAGGAAATAAAATTTAAACAGAACTACACTAGTCTTATAAGGCATCAGAGAATAGGATTAACTTCAATGAAGCAAAGACCCATGCATTACTGTTTCAACAGTATTGTGTAAAGAAAGATCTAACAAACAATGGCACATGGGGTTTTCTTGGGGTGGTAGACAAAACCTTGAGATTCCATTTCCCACAATTCTCCATTATAAAATAATCGAGCACCATTAAACTCCTAGCAAGGCTTTCTGTTTTGTCTAGAAATTCATATGAAAATGCAAACAACCAAGATGATTTGAAAGGAAAACAACTAAATTGAAGACTTCAACAAACAACAAACACCAGGAAAATGAAAATCTACAGAAGTGAGAAGTAGGTGAATGGGCTGGAGCGGAGGGTCCTGCACAGATCTGGAGCAGGTGACCGCGACTTAACTCACACCAAAGTGAACGAGTGCTCAGTGGGTCTCAAAGGAACAGAATGCTAGTTTTAACCATCGACACACAACCGATTCCAGATGAGTTGATGGTGTGAATGTGGACAGTAAAACCGGAAAGAGTTCTGAAGAACACACAGAAGGCCCTGAAGCCTCAAACGTAGACTCAAAGAATGAGCGAGGATGCGAGCTAAGGATGGGGACTATGTTCCAACTGTGCATGCCAAAGACAGTCCCTTCATCCATAAAGAACAAGGAACTCTGTAAACTAGCGGTATAAGAATTTAATAAATATCCGAAAGACATCAACTGACACCTTACCAAAGACTCATCTAAGGTGTGTACAATAGTGCTGCGTGAACGGAACCCAGAACTTCAAGGGCAAACCCCACAAACCACACCAAATGTGCACACAGACCAGGACGCAGAGCAAAGATGGAGTCAAGTAAATAAAAAACTCTTTTGGAAAAGCTTTAAACACCATTTACTAGAGCTGAAGAGAGGTAGCCACACTCCAACCTGTGTTTTACTCCTCAGTTTCTAGCCAACTGGAATGAACTTTTATCTCCATTAAGAAACACGTGCTAGAACACACACGGAAGGGCTAATTGTAATAGTCTCAAACCGGAGACTACCGACAGTGAAAGCAAATAAATAAATAAATAAATAAATATTTGCATGATGGCTTTAAGAGTCAATTATAGTTACAGATGACTCTAACAAGCATGTTGAAAAGCTAGCACACAAAAAGTGTACATTTGATTTCTATAAAATTAGGTAAAACCAATCTCTGGTCTCATAAGTGAAGGTACCTGGTTAGTGTGGTTGGAATCATGGAGGATGGCGGGAAGCACCAGAACATGCCACAGGATAGCGAGTCTTTAGTAATGGTTCCACTGACTGAGATTCTACTTACATGTGTGTCTGCTCACTTTGTGAAAAGTAAAGTTACATATATCTCAATATATAAAGATTGGTACATAAACCAGGCAGGGTGGCACCTGCCAAGATATGTATCTGAGCCTGTGGAGAGAAGGAACCATGGAGCGCCGAGGAAGGCTACTCACCCGTGTCCTGGAGAGCCACTTGCTGCTTATGCAGGAAGGCCATCTCCCGGCCCAGGGCTTTCTTCTGTCGTTCCAGTTCGTTTCGAAGCACCAAAATTTTTAACCGCAGACATTCGCTTTCTTTTTTCTAAGTAAGTAAAATCACAGGAAAATTTATGAATATAAAGGAAGTCATAGCTATAACTGTACATCTACCATGCTTCAAACCAATAATGACCAAATACTCATTAACCTACAGGTCTTTGTGTAATTATCAGCAGCCATGACTTAAAGGCAGAAGTAAGGAAAAACAAGTAGAAACGAACCTTGTCTAGGAACTCAAATCTCTAGCAGAAGTAAGAAGCGGGGGGTGGGGGGAAGACATTAACAGGTCGGAAGAACCTGAGCTGGACACCCCACATAGACAAAGATAACACAAAACACCAGGCAAAATAATGATGCATCACAGTCAAACGACATTTATTCTAGAATTTATCCTTAGCAAGCAAGCTAAGGAAGAACAGCATCTGATAAAAATGTGTACAGATAATAAAGGTATACGATAAAGACATACAACAAAACACACTACTTGGCTGGGCGGTAGTGGTGCACGCCTTTAATCCCAACGCTCGGGAGGCAGAGGCAGGAGGACCTCTGTGAGTTTGAAGCCAGCCTGGTGTACAGAGAGAATTCCAGGACACATACCAAAGCTACACAAAGAAACTCTGTCTTGAAAAAAAAACAAAACCAAAGAAACCACACTACTTATGAATGATAGGAACAAAGAACAGTGGAAACACCTTTTGCTGGTTCCTTTACATCACATTTAATGGTAAGAGCTAAGCCCTCTCCCCTAGGTTTAGGAACAGATGAGAAGTTACTTTACTGCTCCATGACAATGAAAAAGGAGCCCAGCAGTAGTGGCCCATGCTTTTAATCCCAGCACTCAGGAGGCAAAGGCAGGAGGATCTCTGTGAATTCAAGATCCCATGAGCAAGCTGGCTAGTTAAACTAGTTATATCAGTGAGGTCTGGGTACAACCGGGAGACCCTGCTTCGGTGAAAAGATGGAAAGGATTGAGGAAGATTCCTGATGTCAGCCTTGGGCCTCTGATGTACACACACACACACACACACACACACACACACACACACACGCAAGAGGTGTGAGCAGACATGTACATGTATACATACCACACGCATATGCACGTACATATGTGCATGCAGGCGTGCAGAAGGGGACATATATTCTTTTCTGGAATTCCATTTACAAATCCGACATCCCTGACTGCACAATGAAGGTATTTTTTTCCCTGCTCACATGAGCATGCACTATCATGACGCATCTTTGCTAGTCTCCATTACGTGGTATCAATAATACACTTTTCATAATTTTCTATGATATAAGTATAAATCAAATTGTAATTTGGCCATGCCTGGTAAACTGCTGTCTTTTCCAAAAGTATGACATAGCTAATTATAAGTATAATAGAAAAATACACTTACTTAACAAAATAAAAATTAACAAAATATGGAACAAGCGGCTTGATGTTCTCAAAGGAAGACCTTGATGATTTATAGACAATAAAGAAAACTGGGAATTGAGTGCGAGGCATGGTGACATGACCCTACAGAAGCAAGTGCCAAACAAATAAACAAACAAACAAATGATTCTGGGCAACTGTGTTGAGCACTCTGCGGCAATTCTTTCTCTCCCAGAGTGCTCTCTCCTCAACCCTGAAATAATCACTCTAAACAGATGGTATGAAAATCCACTAGCAACACACAAGCCAACAGTACAAAACCTTATTTCCTAACCATTACATTAGGCTTGAGACATCCAGGAAATATGCCCTTAAAAATAATGCCGTGTAAACGTTTGAGGGACTTACTACCTAGTTTTAGCTGCTTTCTATTAACTTAGATGTTTATTGTGTTTTGTCAAAACACCATGACAACAAAGATCCAAAGATCGAGGGTGTTCTAAAACATGAAAGAGACCAAGTACCCATCGACAAATTGGTGAAAAAGCAAAATGTATTGTGTACGCGGAATATTCCATTTGAAAAAGGGAGGAACCCTGGCATAGGCAATGACGTGGAAAAATCTTTAAGATTTATGTTACGTGAAATGAATAAGGTGTAAACAGCCCCTTTATGTCCGACTCATTTTCTGTGAGGGAATGTAGCTCAGCGGTAGAGCACATGCTGACCGCAGACAAGGCCCTGGGTTCATTGCCAGTGTGTGTGGCGGGGGAGGATAAGGAAAGAGAAGGAATGTGAACCCAGGAGGTGGCAGGGTGTGGGAGCGAAGAGGCGCAGGAGTCAGTACCTAACAGCTATGAAGCTTCAGTTTTCCAAATATAAAGCTTTGGTGACAGATGGTAGGGGTGACTGCACAACACTGTGAATGTATTAATACCAATAAAGTATACATTTAAAAATGACTGAACGGGTCTGGAGAGATGGCTCAGCGATTAAGAGTACTGATTTGGCTTCAGTTCTCAACACTCACATGACAGTTCAAAACTCTCTGTAAATCCAGTTCCAGGAGACCCAACACTGCTGGCAAAAAACACCAATGCACATAAATAAAATACAGGTCTGGAGAGATGGTTTAGAGGTTAAGAGCACTGGTTGCTCTTCCAGGGGTCCTGAGTTCAATTCCCAGCAACCATTGTGAGCAATGGCTCACAACCATCTGTAATGAGATCTGGCGCCCACTTCTGGTGTGCAGGCATATGTGCAGACAGAATATTGTATACATAATAAATAAATACATACATACATACATTTTAAAAAATTATATATGAATTTAAAAAGAAAGGAAGGGAGATAAAAAAAGATTACACCTGGCTGAGAAGCTGCCTCAGAGAGTAAGGCTCACTACTCAGCTTCGCGACAGCTTCGCGACACGCGCTGGACTCCTAGAACTCACGCGGTAGAATACTCCACAAGCCTGTTTGGCCTCCATGTGAGCACCATGGCACGTGAACGAACAAATAAATAAATAAATAAATAAATGGATTTTTTTAATCGCTGAGATTAGAAATGATCTGTTATGTGTTTTATAATTAAAGAAATTGGAAGGGTCAATGAGGTTGTTTATTATTTGGGGGAAAAAAAGGAGCCAAACCCAGAAGAGTTTTCTTTAGTGATCAGAAGTCTTGGGTCTTCTGACATCACTGAGGAGAAAATAAATAAACTCTTCAGAAGCTTACTTGGGCAGAGAGAGAAAGCATTTTTAAGAAAACACAACGTGGCTAGTGGGGTAACTTGCTCTGTTCCTGGGTACACACTAAAACTGGGAATGTTTTCTTTATTCAAAGCACAAAACTTACAAGTTAATCTAAATACAAAGTTAACATGGGAAGGCGTGAGTGCAGCGTGCTTGTGTTATGGTCCATGTGAGGATGCTGGCCCATTTGTGGAAAAAGATCCATTAGCTCAAACCGGGACTGTTGGCTCCCGTTTCTGAGGAGTAAGCAAACCCTGCCCATGTGCATGCCTCTGCTTCCTTGTTCGTACTTCAAAGGCGCGCTGATCGCAGCTCTTAGCATAACATAAGTACCTTCTACCGGGGGCTGCGCTCCACTCAGCTCTGAGGTGCACGTACAGCTAATGTCACACATTCACCCCGATGATCTATCATCTTTAATCAGATTTTGTACACATCTCAGAAACTGCAGACATGCAAGTTTGCAAGCACACATTCCTACTTACGGGTCTTTAGAAGAAAATCATGGGAAACATTAAACAATCATTTAAATATTAACACAAACAAGTATTTTCTCATAGATCATACTGGAGCTGAAACTCCTCAGACATAAGTTCCTAAACAACCGTCCTGGGATAATGAAGGTTTCAAACGTGAAGTCACACTGAGCGGTTGGGCCCTTTTCATGGTCATGTTCCATGTATGGAACATGTGAATGTCTACTTTGGTGCTGCAAAGAACTCACTACCAAACTAGATGAGAGTTTCTAAGGCCTTTCAATAAATTGTTATATGTATTTGTGTGTGTGTGTGTGCGCACAAGCCAGGGCACATATCACAGTCAGAGAGCAACGTTGGGAGTCAGCTCTCTCCCTGCCACCACGTGGGTTTTAGGGACTGAACCGGGCTTGTCAGGCTAGGTGGCATGTGCCTTTACCCAGTGAGCCACCTCATCATCTCTTATTAAGCAAGAACTCAGTTTGAAAAATCTGTTATACTAACATAGATTTGCTACTGGCACTTTAATTTTAATTAGAAAAATCTTTTTAATTTCCCAGATTCGACTTCTAACATAATTAATAGTACAGCCTAAATTCTTAGAGATTATCACAATTAACATATTTAAGGATCCTAAGAGCAAAACATTTGAGAAATTAGTGATTAGAGCATGTTTTATCTTATCCGTAGTCAGCGCCAGCAACTGGAAGTAATTAACAATCTAGAAAATATCTCAGAGCTGTGGAAGTTAACAAATTGCTTCCAAATGTCACTTATAGGTTGTTTTTCTTCCATCTACGTGTAGCCAATCCTTAAGAAAGAGAGAATGCTTCCTTAGAAAATATTTAACCCAATTTATTAATTCCATAGACTCAGTAGCATTATCAGTCCTAAAACTCAGGTATAGGCTGAAAATTAAATTATAATAAGAGTTGAGCTTCTAAGTAAGAATAAACACCTACAAACTAGTCTTTTAATAAATCAAATGTATGAAAAACTGCATATTTCTTGAGTGGTCAGTGGCAGGCTGCTCTGAAGAGTCCACGTTTGGATTAGGCACACAACACACACAGGCGATTCTCCCTCTTTATTCTGTGGCTTTGCCCTGAAAGTGGCTCTAGAGGCCGGCAGGAAATCACTGTCTACACGGGGAGGTACCAGAAATGACGCAGGATACCAGAATTGGGGAAGACAGAAAATAGGTACCCCAAATTCTGTTGAAACTCAATGAACTCTCAGACTGAACCCAAACCCACACGTGTGTAGATGAACACAAAACTGCTTATGCTCAAGAGTTAAAAATACTTTTTAGCTGGAATCATAACTTTTTAGCTAGAATCATAGCCATGCAGGCTGGAGGCACAGCAGTTTGAGTTTAAGCAAGTGGACTATGTGCTAAAATACATCCTCCAAAGCCAAGTCTCCAGGTCTCCAGA